AGTTCACACGCTTCAAAAGGACGGTCGGTTAGCACCAGTTCACACGCTTCAAAAGGACGGTCGGATAGAACCAGTTCACACGCTTCAAAAGGACGGTCGGATAGCACCAGTTCACACGCTTCAAAAGGACGGTCGGATAGCACCAGTTCACACGCTTCAAAAGAACGGTCGGATAGAACCAGTTCACACGCTTCAAAAGGACGGTCGGATAGCACGAGTTCACACGCTTCAAAAGGACGGTCGGTTAGCACCAGTTCACACGCTTCAAAAGGACGGTCGGTTAGCACCAGTTCACACGCTTCAAAAGGACGGTCGGTTAGCACTAGTTCACACGCTTCAAAAGGACGGTCGGATAGAACACCAGTTCACACGCTTCAAAAGGACGGTCGGATAGAACCAGTTCACACGCTTCAAAAGGACGGTCGGTTAGTGCGAGTTCACACGCTTCAAAAGAACGGTCGGTTAGCACCAGTTCACACGCTTCAAAAGGACGGTCGGTTAGCACTAGTTCACACGCTTCAAAAGGACGGTCGGTTAGTACGAGTTCACACGCTTCAAAAGGACGGTCGGATAGAACCAGTTCACACGCTTCAAAAGGACGGTCGGATAACACGAGTTCACACGCTTCAAATGGACAATCGGTTAGCACGAGTTCACACGCTTCAACAGGACGGTCGGTTAGCACGAATTCACATGCTTCAAAAGGACGGTCGGTTAKCACTAGTTCACACGCTTCAAAAGAACGGTCGGTTAGTGCGAGTTCACACGCTTTAAAAGGACGGTCGGTTAGCACTAGTTCACACGCTTCAAAAGGACGGTCGGTTAGCACTAGTTCACACGCTTCAAAAGGACGGTCGGTTAGCACCAGTTCACACGCTTCAAAAGGACGGTTGGATAGCACCAGTTCACACGCTTTCTACTACGAAGCTGTAGAGGCGCTAAATATGCAAAAGTCAAGGTTTTCAACATGGGTTATAAAATATATATATTTTTACCAGGGATGTATTTATAAAATGATACTAAAATGTATGGATGAAAAAAAGTTTAATWATCAAACAAACATTTCCCGATGAAATAGAGACTAATTTGCATCTCATTACACGGTTTGAATTTGGTGCGTATGGTATAGTAATATCCGGATGAAGTCGCCTCATTCTGCCCGATGAGTGGCAATAGGAAATTTGAATGGGATTTTTAAAAGCAAAAAAA